ACAGATAGACAGATAGACAGATAGATAGATAGATAGATAGATAGATAGATAGATAGATAGATAGATAGATAGATAGATAGATAGATAGATAGATAGATGTTAGTGATGCATAAATATGAAATATTTGGGCCAATACCGGTATCAAAATCACTGTTATGGCCGATATCCGATATTTGCCCATATCGATATACTGACATTAATGCTTTCAAAATCAGCAGAATAAAAATTATTAAAGCTGAATTTACATTATTGTGCACACACACACCACACACGTTTACGCTTTTGAGATGATTACTCTGTCACATGACTAAACAAATACACATCACCCTGCTCACCCTCTGAAACACTCAAACAAATGGAGAGGAGATGGAAAAAATATCAGCTGGTAATATCCGCTAAATTTTGTTTATCTGACCAATACCGATATGTTAAAAAATGACTAACATCGGCCTTTATTGTCCATCCCTAATACATATATATATATATATATATATATATATATATATATATATATATATATATATATTCTGGGTAGTGACGTCACATGGTTGGACTGCTTATCTGGTTCACACGGCTGACAGTGCAGTGGGCATCAGTTCAGCCTTTCCAATTTGAACCTGACTCCAGTTTCACACTGCAAGCATCAGCGGAACGGCAGCAAAGTGGCACCGCTTCAAATAGAATCCAATTATAGTCTATGGAGTGTTTCAAACAAGCCGCGACGCGGCAATTTCCAGACACATCCCAGAAGCAGCATGCTGCGTCGCAAAAGATAGGATCGAGTTCTATTTTTTCCGTGAGCTGCTTCTGGGACATGCCATTTCCCGCAGTTCACATAGTGCAAGACAGGAAACTACACGGTTTCAGTGTAAAATTCCCAGTTATTTTCAAAATAAAATGCAACGTTGCGATGTTATTTATAACTTATGTCAGTACGTGTGACCGAACGACTCTGTTTACCACTGGTTTCTTTCGAGAAGTGCAACGGTGTGATTCCTCGCGGGGATTGTGATCTCTCGATGAGGAAGGTGTCGGAAGTCTCGAGGGGTTTTAGAATCTCGCGGGTACAGCGAGGTGCAGCGAGGAAGCCGTGCCGCAGCCAAGACCCTCCAGGTGTGAAAAGGACCGCTTTGAAGTTCGCGAGTGAGCCGCTCCGCTGCTGTTTTGTTCCGCTGATGCTTGCAGTGTGCAACCGGGGTGAGAGGCAAGTGAGTAGCGAAGAAAATTCCCAGTCATTGGAGTGAGTGGGGTTCAGTCACTGGTGTACATGCAGCAAATGCATGCCCATGCTGATGGAGATGGAGAACACTTGTTACAAAGAGCTCAATTTATAGCAGTAGCTATCCACGGTATCGGTCTTTAGCAGACATGTAACCTGCATGTCAACCACACCCCCTTAGTGACATTTTAGGTGTATGACTCGTGTTCCTAGGGGAAGCCGCAGCTGAAGTTGAAGCAGAACAAGAGTATAAAGGATGGATAAAAAGAACATGGATGAATGCATTCCTTACAGGAATAAAATTGTGAAGGAGGATAGGGATAGGTTTGTTCAGAAAAATCAACAACATAGATCCCTACGACCTCAAACGGAGTTCAGACGTTTCATTACTGCCGAAAATATAAGCGGAGCACCACTTCAACATATTTATAATAAAGTAAAAGTAAAAAGCAGCCGTCCAAAAACATTTGTCCACTAACTCAGACGCTGCACTAGGTTTCAGTTTTGGATGGGCCTTAATTAAACAAGTTACAGTCAATATATGTTACAAGCAGGTACAGAAACAATACCTACATTCAGAAGTCGCACTAGTCGCTTTGTTTTTATTTTGACCAACAGGGTTAAAAAAAACTGTCATGATAATTTCCTCTTGTCATTTTCATTTCTTATACACATACATAAATAAAATATCACTGTTTAATTTTCATTTGTCGTTAATATTTAGTCTGAACAAGCTGACCAGCGTGTCCAGCATCATGTCACAATTAAATTATTTCTCTTAAAGTAGAAACATTTTACCTCCCGCGTTCTGGTTCTTCTGTTGGCCTGTGACCCACCGATGCTGTCCGAGCTGCTCACCATGGCTCCTCAGTGGGCTGATAGCGAGCTGTGCTGATCATGATGTCCAAGTCTGAGATAATGCTCACATGTTCTGATGGGAGTCTTTTCTTGATTAATTGTGTTACCTCTGCATTGTTCTCTGTGCGTGACCTAAAATGTCTGCACACCCACATGTGGCGGGTACTTCAAGTCTGTCAGAATGACCAACAGCCTTGAAATGTCTCTTTATAATTATTTGAGAAATGAAAATGTGGGAATTCGAGTTGCAGGCTGACAGTTATACACAACGCCACCTAGGGAGTTGCACCCCAGGATATAAAGACACACAGGTCCACATCAGGCAGGAGATGTGGCCTGACTAATAACATGGTTTTATTCATCAAATCAAAATAAAAGGGGAAAAAAACCGGAAAAAGTCCAGGGTCCAACTCGGCCAGCAAAAATACAAACCAAACCAAACTAAAACCACCCCAGTCACAGTGCCATGCACCCAGGAGGTGCACAGTGAAGGAACACACACACACACACACACACACGTGGAAAACTCCCGCCACTGAAGCCGAAGAGACCGGAGAGATGCTTCGCTCCAGCAGCAACTCCCACTCTCATGTAACTAGCCGGGATGTCCAGACAGACCTCGGAATATCTCTGTCAGTGCTTCTCCTCAGGCACGTCAACACACCACACTCCCCACCGCCGATCAGTGACGTAGGAGGCAGATTTAATGTG